AGCAAGCCCCCCACTGGTACGTTGGGATGTGCACATGTGAAAGCAATGCTCTTGGCCGTGGTGGCAGGGTATGGCATGCACAGGGCACTGCTGAGCCACTAACCCCTGGCAGGACCATGCAGGCTGGCTCCACACCCTTCCTGCAGCCACAGGACCAGGGCAGCTGCCTGCTGTCACATGGCTGCTAGAATCTGTTACTATGTGTCAGCCCCTCTAAAAGCTGAGGAATCCAGACAGGGAAGTGGAGTAACCTGCAAACTAGACAGAGCCAGGCAATGACCTTGGACAAGTAATTGGGACCTCATCGAGCCTTCGTTTCCTCCCTCTAAAGGAAGCTGGAAAGCCCACAGCCCCGGCAGCGCTCCTCTCTCTGGACCCTTCTGTTATGGAGCTGGCTGATAGCTCTTCAGCTCCTGTGGAGTAGCAGTTTGTTCCCACAAGACTTAGCAAGACCGTCGTCAGAACAACAGAGATTCTCACGAAAGTGCTGTAGAATTCTCTTTCTAAGTTACCGCTGCCATGCAGGTGCACTCCCTTAGCTGAGGTCTAGAAGAGGGAACTCGAGGAAAGGGCATTGCATGACCAGGAGGAGCTCTTTCTGGAGGCATCAGGCAGATCTGGCTCCACCCAGGGAAGAAAGGCTGGGGGTACCCCCTGGGTAGAGCAGGAGCCAAGGAGCTCAGCTGGCCATTTGGCGGGCTGAGTAATTAATGTCGCATTTTGGGAGGTCACTTGAGCATCAAAAATTTGTTCATTAGTTTCATGAAAGCAGCTTGCGCAACTGCAGGGAGACGATAATCGGGTAGTAATTGAAAATAACTTGGTGGTTAACCTAAGTGGAGGGAACCAGTTAGGGGTAACTTGGGAAGGACAAAGGGCTGGGGCGGGGGCGGCTGAGGAGGAAGAAATCGCAGTGGGGAGACAACAGTTTGAAAAGATGTTTAACAATGTCCTCGTCTGACTTTAGAAATAGGGAAGCGGGTCTGAGGAGGGAAGTGGTTTTCCCAAGACTCCTCAGCTACTTAGGGGGACATCTCCCTTCTTCCCCCGTCTTTATGGGATTTCACGACATTGACTTTTAAGAGTGGACTTTACGTACAGCAAAGAGGGTGCCCCGAGGCTGTGGTTCCGACCTCTCCTGACTGCGGGTTGTGCTCAGCTGCAGGTAGCAGCGGGATAGCTCCCAGTCTCGTTTCACGCAGCTCCACCATGCCTTGAACATGCCTGGTAGTGTTTGCCCTTGCCACTCGGGGCTCTGCGGTCCCCGGCCTTTATTGTGGGGTGCCTCTGGGCTGGTTAATGGGCAGGGCAGTGAGTTTTCAGGAGAGGGTTATTTTTGAGCATCTGCTCCTTGCTGTGACTTGGCTCAGTCCCCATAGAGGGCACTTTCATGATAGGGCTCTGCCTGGCAAGGGCACAGCTAGGACGGGAGTGGAGAAGACAGCCATGGCCGCTCTTTCCAGTGCAGATCGTGTACGGGTTCTGGCGCTGTTCTCACAAGTACTGGTGTGACCCTCAGGAACCCAGAATGCTCAAACCCCTAGAGTCCAGGCAGTGCTCTGTTTACCGAGGCCAGCGGACACCAGGTCACAAGAAGCTACAGGTGTCACTCAGCTGTTAGAAAATGAGCTGTTGATCTCCCATCCCTTATCAATAGAGATTAATATGAATCTGAAAGGACTGAGTGTACTGTGTGGAGACTAATCAGGAGGGCATCTCGGGTGCATTTGGGCAAAAGCAATTGCATGCCCTGTGTGCATGGGATAGGACCGTTCTGGTTGGGGCTGCTTGGAGCTCATCCTGCCTGCCCGACCCCTGCACCTTCTCTTACTCTCCTTGCTTCTCAAGCCAGTCATCCAAGTGAGCATGGTCACTTCATGGCTAAAAACCAAAAAGAACTGAGGTTCTCACGTTTCTCCAAGCTGGCTTTAAATTCCTGGTAGATTCGTTACCTTTGTGTTCTGGTTTCCCCAGAGGTCTTTCTTCTTACTCTGAGCCTGTCAGTGGTGCAGGACACTTTGGTGGCCACAAACACTTAACACAAGGAGGGAGAGGAGCTTAGTTGAGAGATGATCTTCCAGCAATCCTATTCTTGGCGACTGACATAAAGAAGAAACCACAGGGCGGACCTGCCTGGCAGGTGCAAAGACCTGAGTTTGATCCCCAGTACCACATGCCATGCTGGTCCAGACCCCTGAGGGTGCTGTGCTGGCCCCGAAACTGGGCATGGTGGCACACGCCTGTAATCCCAGCGCTGGGGAGGCTGAGACAGGAGGATCACTACCAGTCAGAGCTGGGCAGGAGGAAAGTGGTCAGGGGTCACTGCTTTGAAAAATAACATGTATTGTTTTTCTAATTACAAAATGAATATGTCCTCATGGAGAATTTGAAGTGCTCCAAGAGGCTTATGGAATAAATTCAATAGCTCTATTTTGCGACTGTTTCATTAAGTTTCTGCTCAAAGGGTTTTTTCTTTTTAATTAATTAATTTTGGTTTCTTCAGATAGAATCTCACTATGTAGTTCAGGCTGGCCTTGAACTTTTGGCAATCCTCCAGCCTCAGCCTCCTGAGTGTGCCATTACTCCATTACTTTGAGCTTCTGCTCAAAGCTTTTTAGTGAAGGCAGGGACACTCTTTCTATGAAAATTGGGCTTTCTGGTTAAGTTGTATGTCTTTCTTTTCATTTCTAAATCTCACTGTTGCTGGTCTTCATTTGCCATAAACCCTGACGACTGACTAATGAGCTTTCATAACTAATAACAAACTTTGTCCTACCTGCCCCAAAGGCTGTTTTCTGATGGGAGATGTCGCAGGTAACACTGTGCCTACTACATGTGTAGTGTGCTCCATCTGCTTTTTTTTTTTTTTTTTTTTTTTTTTTTTTTTTTGAGTATATAGATAAATTTTAGACAGCTGGGAATGCAAGCAGTTCCTGTTGCACAAACAAGGGGTAGATGCTTAGTCCCGGGAAGGCAATTGTCCTGTGGTTTCTGTGGGCCTGTGGTGGACATGCAAAGCTCTCCGCAGGACTGTTCCCTGGTACCCGACTCACTAACCCCAGGGGTGCCTCAGGGCCGCGTTTGTCTTTCCAAATAATGCTGGAAATCATGTGTTTGATTCCACTGATAAACCCTTTTGGCAAAATGGTGGGGGTGGGATTGAAATTAGATGTAAAGTTTTAAAATGAGTTCAGGAAATAGGTGGGTGGACGACTCAGTCTGTGGCATGTGATTCGTGGGTGGGAAGTTCTTTTTTAAGCCAGAACACTGCACTGTGTCCACGGACCTGTCTTCCAATGTCATGTCCCTGAGAGCCAGTGCAGATAAGTACTCTTTGTTCCCCTGAGTGCATAACAAAGGTGTGTTGGCATGAGTGGCCTTGCGGGGAGGGTGCAATTGAATCAGGAATTTGGAAGCATACATCAGATTTGTCTGAGGTCAAGAGGGGCCTCTGGTGATGCACGACACCCAACCTGCTGCTGGTTCCATGTCCACACTTCACAGCCCAACCAGCCTGAGGTGGAGCTCACTGTCCCCACCTCACTGGCCCCTTTCTTTGCTTTCTTGTCATTTATTATCCTCTTGCTGCCACCCAACAGTGCCTTAGGCTGAGACACCCAACGCCACCCAGCCCCAACTGGGTCCTGCTGTTCCCATCCTGGTAGCACCTTCCCCGGAGCTAACTTGGAATGGTGGTAGTCGGGAATCTGACGAGCGGGAGCTGCCTCAGTCCTGCTCCTCCCAGTGTCCTCACCTCAGCAGCCACCCACCTGTAAGGGCTCTGGTCTCTGGCTCTGTGCAGGCGGAAGACACACTGTGCCAGACACAGCACCAAGGAGGGCTGGGGGCTGACCCTGGGTTCACTTCCTGCTTGTGGTGCAGGCAGGGCGCTGTCTTCTGGGCCTGGCGCCTGGCAGGCAGGCAGATGGTGCCTTCTCACTGCGCCCTCGGGGCCTTCCCTGTGTAAATCTGTGTCTCAGTCTCTTAAGGGAGCAGCTAGCTTACTGCAGGGCCAGGGAACTCTGTAATGACCCTGTCCCCAAAGGCAGTCCCAGTGGGAAGGCCCAGATAAGGACATTGACTGAAGTACTTGTGGTGGCACAACTCAGCTCCTACGAAGGACTCTACTAGATACTACCTCGGCCCCATCTAGGGCTACAGAATTGTGTTTTACCTTAGGGTTCTTTCTATTCATAGCTGTGTCCAGCTCCACGCACTCTGGTAAGAGCTCAGTGTGCATGCTTCCTGCTGCGTTCTTTCTTTTGCTTTGTATTTTAGGGAAGGGTTGACAGGGTATTCAGGGTCTTACTACTAGATCAGACTCATAGCGATCCGTCAGTTTACAGCCTTTCAAGAGCTGGGGTTACAGGCATGCACCGCCACACCCAGTCTCAATTGCCATCTCAGCGCGCCCCAGGGGCGGGACCTGCACGGCAGGCCCAGGATCAAACCTCCGGCTCTTGTGCCTGCTTGCAGGCATTTTAATCTGCTGAGCTATTTGGCCGGCCCTCCGTTTTCTTTCTCAAAATTAATTAATATTAATTTAGGGGGCACTGGTGTGTGACCTCAACCTTCAAAATCACAGTCTTCTTTCTTCCTTCTCCCAAGTAGCTAGGACTCTTAAGTGTGTCATGCCAGGCTTCTACTTTTTAATAAACCTATGTCTGTGTGTACTTTTTTGAAGTTTATTTATTTAATTAACTTGAGACAGGGTTTTGCTTTGTAGTTCAAGCTGGCCTTGAACTCACTACACAGCCGAGGCTAGGTAGCTTTGTCTTACTACATAATCTCAAACTGTGGCCATCCTGCCTCAGCCTCCCAAGTGCTGGGATTGGAAATGCTGTTAGCAGTGTCACAGGTGTGTGCCCCCACACACGGCTGAAGCCTTGTGAATGCTATAGACAATCAGGACAATCATCCCTGTGTAACTTCTGATATATATATATATATATATATATATATATATATATAATCTTTAAAATGTTTTATGCTTCCTGCAGCTAGAAGCAGACAAACTGGCCCTTCCAATGAGCCCCAGCCCTGCCAGCCCAAACCCCGGCCCCAGTGGGAAACTGGAAAATGCTACGCTCCTCACGGTGGAGCCATCACCCCTGGACAAGAATAAGGGCTTCTTTGTGGACGAGTCCGAGCCCCTGCTCCGCTGCGACTCCACATCCAGCGGGTCTTCGGCGCTCAGCAGGACGGGCTCCTTCATTACCAAAGGTAAGAGTGGCAGACGCTAGCTCCAGAGCACCCAGTCTCGCCCCAGCCGGGCCACCCAGGTGACCCGTCCTGGACAGCCTGTCCTGGGCCCTGAGATGACCCTGGTCAGGGAGGACTGTGTCACTGGCCGAGGTGGACACGCCTAGGAAACTTGACAGCTGCCATGCCTGCAAGGTCACCTTTCTCCTCACAGTACTAGCAGGGGAGTTTCTCTGAGAAGCAGGAAATGTAGTCCAGCAGGTTTTTTGAAAATTATTTACCAGCCTTGGATCCAAAGATGTAAAGTATAACTGGTCTTAAGGATTGAGAGGACAGTTTTACTGACTTACAGATCCTCATGGTCAGCTGTTAGGTTGAAAATAGTGTTTCACACATTCTGGGTTTTCTTTTTGGTAAATAATTTGCCACTTTTGCCTGGGGGTAATAGGATGGGGAGTGAGGAGACACACTGTTTTGATGACAGATTTTTGTTAGTACCTAGGTTGGGGACAATTCCATTTAGATATTAGAAAGAAGGGTTCTATGTTCTGCATGTATTTATAAAATATCTTATATTGTAACCACTTTACTTATTTATGTTATCCTATTGTTTATTTATTTATTTATTTATTTTTTGCGGAACCGGGGATTGAACTCAGGCCCTTGCGCTTGCCAGGCAAGCACTTATTCTACTGAGCCATCTCCCCGGCCCTCCCTGTTGCTTATATAAACATAAAATATATTGTCATTACAGATAGCATAGGGAAAGTTACAGTTCCTCACCCCAGTGTAAAGCAGTGTTTTCTGGCTGCTGTGCTTTTATTCCTCGAGTTGAAAGCGTCGCTCAGTGTGACAACAGGCTGGTGTAGCTTGGGACTTTAATCATGTGGCACAGGTCGGGTTGTGGATCGCTTTGTTTAGTGGCTGTGTTGCAGACGGAAATGCTGCTAGAGGTATCACAATATTTCTCTGAGTTTCAGAAGAACTTAGAAGTCATTGAAGTCTAGATGTTTATGTACCACCGTAATCATGGACTTGCCACCCATCGTGGCGGGTCACTGTCTGACCCCTGAGAGGCTGCTCTTTCTATGGGCAGTACCAGTGCATATTCCCAAGCCGTCTACACTGTGCCAGACAGAATGTGAGAAGCACACAGGCCCAGGGAGGCTGGGGAGAGGGTGGTTTCGTGCTCTGGGCATTCCCCACCTGCAGCAGCAGGGTCCCATTCCCCTCCTCCCTCCCCCTCTGGTCTCTGCAGAGAAGAAGGACACGGTGCTGCGGCAGGTACGCCTGGACCCCTGTGACTTGCAGCCCATCTTTGACGACATGCTGCACATCCTGAACCCCGAGGAGCTGCGGGTGATTGAAGAGATCCCCCAGGCCGAGGACAAGCTGGACCGGCTGTTTGAGATTGTTGGGGTCAAAAGCCAAGAGGCCAGCCAGACCCTCTTGGACTCCGTGTACAGCCACCTCCCCGACCTGTTGTAGAACATGCCAGCTCTGCGCTCTGCACACTGACTTGGTGGCGGGTGGTTTTGTTTGGTTTCTCGCTTCTGGATCTGGTGTATGTGTGTGTTTAACAGTTTATGGCCAGTGTATGAGTTTGTTCTTCTCACAGCTTTTTTTTTTTTTTTTTTTTTTTTTTCCCCTTCTTAAAAAAATCCTCTGGGAAGTTAGTTTATAAACCTTTTGCAAAGTATAACTATTGCAGAATACCCATCAGTAAATTTTTATAAGTTCCAGTTTCTCTGTTTTTTGCCTTCTTATGTATTTTCTAAATTGTTCTGTGCACTTTAAATTCATGTAACTGACCGTAAATGCAGTGTGGCTTTTCCTACACACTGGATGGTGACGTTCTTCTTAAAGTGTAATGGCATCTTGTCAGTTCTATAAGCAGTCTTCTTGTCTTTCAACACCATGTCTACATTTTTTTTTTTTTTTAAAATATTACTGCTATTTTTATTATTGTTTGTCCTTCACAGATGTTCTTAGGGATTAAGGAGACCCGAGATCCTGTTGAGTTACTGTAACACAATCAGACCTTGAATTATCTTCGGGATATTCCGTGTTGCACCCTTCATATTCATGGCTGAAACTTGACCACACGATTGCAGACAGACGGATGGTTTCGCCTGCACACGGTGTCAAATGCCTGATTCCTCCCGCTCCTCCTCCTCCTGCTAACACGCTCTGGCCTGGAGAAAATGATGTCCTCAAGCCATCAGGACTTGCTGTTTCGATGGCTTACCCTCCAGGCCACCAAAGAACCTGAACTTCATCTTTTAGGGATTGAGTTGTTCTGAAATACATCGCTGCACTTTGGAAAGTCCAAATCGAGTGCCAGGGGCATGTTTTCCATAGCATTTGCCCAGCTTTTGCTTTCAGAGATGTCTTGTTTTTTATACAAACATAGTCAATAGGTCCAGTCTACCCTCAGGCTTTGGTCTTATTGGGTTTCCTCCATCAATCACTATAATTAAAAATGGCTGCAGCTGTAAGAACTCTTGTCTGATATATTTGCAACTATGCGCCCTTATAAACCTACCCTCTAATCCTCAGTGGCCAGGTTCTAAAACAAAGGTGGTGTGGCCTCCCTTTGTGCCAGCGGGGTTTGTGGGCAGTGGTGAGCGACTGATATCAGAAAAATGCCTTCAAGTGTACTAATTTATTAATAAATACTAGGTGTTTGTTACTGGAGTCTTTGCGTGTTTTCAATCCTTAATGGGCTTGCCTGTCTGAGTGCTCGGGTCTGGGCTATGAGTGGTCTTTAAAATCCTGTTTTAAAATCCTCGGCCACTCAGATTTTCAGCTCCTGCTAGTGAGCAAAGGTTCTGTCAGGAAGGTCACCTGGAGGTTCAGAGAAGGAGAAGGGGAGGGATTGCCAAGTGTGTCTTGGCCTTTGGAAACCCGACGTGGGGTCCTGTTCTTTTTCCTTTTCTCTTTTTAAATGTGTTTAATACAAGGTCTCACTATGGAGCTTGGACTGGTAGTGATCCTCCTGTTTTCAGCCTCAGTGCTGGTATTACAGGAGTGCGCCACCATGTCGTCTTGGTGGCTGGCTCACTGCGCCCAGGGAGGGCAGGCACAGCACGTGGTGCCAGGGATCAAACCCCAGTCCCTGCGCTTGCCTACGCAGATGCCTAGTCTGCTGAGCTATCTCACTGGCCCAGCTCCTGATTTTTGAGATTGCTCCTATATAAGCAAACATTTGTGAAAGTGTGAGAGACTGTCATCCTAGGTGGCCCTGGGGAAGGCACGTAGGCACCGGGGTTGAACAGAAGCTGAATGTTAAGCTAACCAGATGCACAGCTTTGCTGGAAGAGCATCGCCCCCGCTGGCTGCCTTAGCGAAACACACAGGGATTCATAGTAGAAACAGCAATTGCTCTTGGCACTGGGGCTCCTTGGTGGCTGAGGCTGCCTTCCTTGCAGAACAGGGCTGCCCAAGGAGGCTCCTGGGTGATGGCAAGGAGGCCGAGAGAGTGGCAGAGAGAAACAATGTCAGAAGCTCCTCTTGGGAAACCTGAGCCAGGAGATGGAGATTTGTAGCCGGGCTTCAGTAATTCAGAGAGTAAAGGAGGAGATCATTTATTTTTCTTTAGAAAGTAATAGGGGTTCTCTAGGCTGATTTAAGCTAAATGCAGTCAGTCTGGAGGCGCTGACTGGTTTTCAAGGAGAAAATGATGCCAACACAGGGAAGAAGGCACGCATGGGTGGTTCTCAAGCTCCTATGGAGGTAACCCGGGAATGAGCTGCCTTTAGAAAGGTGGATTCCTGGAATGGGAATCAGGAGGTCGGCAGCACGATCCAGATCGAGCCTCCCATGCCAAGCCTTGGGGCCCAGTGACAAAACAATCACAAATAGTTTAGATTCTGGCCATGGAGGTCCCAGGCCCTGCAGGCATCGCAGCACCAAGGCATCATGGGAAACTGCAGAGTCCTCACTAGTTGCCGGGAGCACTGGGGTCCTGTGAATACAGCTTGTGATTCAGCTGTTCTGGGCTGGGGTGCTGCAGGCTCCCTTGGGGTCTTGAGTTCCCAGGTCACAACATTTAGCCTTCTTACCCTGGCTGTTCAGTGGAACCAGCAGGAAGCCAGCACCCCCATGCGAAGACCTCCAGTCCAGGGGGGCAGGACACTGGAGGCAGCAATTTTATTTATTTATTTTTTTAATTAATTTTATTGAGAAACAAATAGCAATAAGGCAATTTCAGAACAGGATAGTAGGACAGTTACAATAATTAATACATTGCATATTGTTGTCTTCGTAGTAGTTATTCATAGTACAAGAGGCAGACATGATAGCCTGCCCAAACACTACTAGTACAAATCTTACTTCTCATTGAATTAAGAGAAAGTAGCTGTATCTATCCTATTTTGTGTATACAGATACAAAATGGTCCTTCATTTATATCCTTTTTCATTTAGTTTTGTCAGAGATGGGTATTCCACTGCCATTTAAATATTGTAGGTGCATGAATTCAACAAAATAATCCAATGTAGTCCAGTAGTCATAGTGGGTTATCCGTAGGACTGTGCAGACCTCAGAAGTCATCTCTGAAATTGCTGGACTCCAGCCCTTGTTCCCTGCTATAGCTATGCTTTCTACCACCCTCTTTGGTTTTGTTTTTTTCCATAATTTTATTGAGAAACAAATAGCAATGAGACAGTTTCAATCAAATTAGTAGGACAGTTTCAATATTTAGCACTGCATACTGTCTTCCTAGTGGTTATTTGTTATACAAGATGCAGACATGATATCCTATTTACAAACACTATTAGAACAAATCCCTCTATTCATTGAATTGAGAAGATGTAACTGTGTATCTATCCTAACCATTTTGAATATACAGATACAAAATGGTCATTCATCTGTATCCCTTTTTTTGTTTAGTTCAGTCATTTAAATATCATAGGTATGTGAACTCAGCAAAATATTCCAAAATAGTCCAGTAGTCCATAATAGTATTGGGCCTTCCTCATGACTGACAATGTAAGAAGTTGTTGACCTGAGTCCCCTATAGCTCACCATAACAACATGGCTTTACTTCTTGTACTTCATTTTTATACTATTCTGCTGGATGGTTAAGACCAAAATAAAGCAAGACCTATGTAACAAGAACTGTAGCTTCTATATCTGATAAGATCAGTCAAATCCCCTCAGAATTTATCCTGAGTCCCTGTACCTCAGTTTGTAGATCCCTTAGTGTCAGCCACATGGATGAGTCACAGCCATTGCTTGACCAATTTGCTTTCTGCGAAAGCCTGAGAGAATATTTCTTCTCCCTGTGACTCTCCTTAGGCACACTCTACATCATTGATCACTTTCCTCTTTGGCACCATAATCTCCTTGATCAGAAAATTTGGGACACTATAGAGTTACATGACGTAACAGCACAGGTTCTCATGTGTCCTGAGTCTTAATTGACCTTAGAAGGCTAGTGCCAAAATGTTGGCTTTCCTTGTAGCCCTCCTTTTTCTCTAATTTTTGGTCTGCAAACTTAGGTTGTTAACCCTGGAGGCAGCAATTTTAACAGCTCCCAGGAGACCCTGATTTGAGAGCTCAGGAAGAGGTTGGAGGCAACATCCTCTGGGGGCCACCCTGGGGCCAAGTGTCGGGCGAGGAAACTTCTGGGCTTTTCTGCAGGCTTACGTTACTATCGGCAGCCTTACACTCAGATGCTGTGTTGCTGTGTGTTGTCACCTTTCTGTGACTTCAGCAAAAGACCTGACACACCCTGCTTGGAAAGAACTGATTTCGACTCAGGGGTCCTGAGGTCACAGGCCACAGTCCCCTGGCCCTGCTGCTTTGTACCTGTCATGGCCCAGAACACGATGGCCAAGCACATGGCAGAGGAGGCCTGTGAACCTCATGGTGGCTGCGGCCAAAGATGGAGAGAGCGTGTGGTGAGGGTCCCAACAACCCTTCCAGGGCACACCCCAGGCACCTAACTTCCCTCCTTCAGGTCCCGCCTTCAGCTGGCCCCTGGGCCCTCACACGGGCTTTCGGGGAACCTCTGGATGGAGCACTGTGTTAAGCACAGACACTTCACCAGGCACTGATGCCCAACACCGTGAAGCTGTATTGCGTTGATGAGCTCACCTGCAAAGAACCAGCCCTTCATGATGTTGCGCACAGAATGTATGATTTGTCAAGAATATTTGGGGAATGCCTGTAATTCCAGCACTTGGGAGGCTGAGGCAGGAGCACTGCTCTGAGAGTAAGGCCAGCCTGAGCTGCATAGTGAAATCCTGTTTCGAAAGAAAAACCACAAAACACTTAGGCAGTGGTAGTATGATTGATGTCCCCATATATATTTGGTAAAAGATTCGCCAATTTGCAAAGAGGTTCAGTAAGAAATGGATCATAAGTCTACACATACGTCTCACAGAGCTCTGCCTCACACAGCCGTTTGGAGTACTCCTTTTTTTTTTTTTTCGGTCGGAATCAGGGATTTAATTCAGGCCCTTGTGCTTGCCAGGGAAGTGTTTATTCCGCTGAGCCATCTCTCCAGCCCTGACACAGCCATTTGGACCCACAACCTCGTCGCCCAGTGCCGCGGACATGAGAGGCACCGTGTGGGATTCTGACTCAGGAAAGGAAGAGTGGAAACTGTGGTCCTCACCGTCCAGGGGAAACATCATCACGCAGGGGCCCTGTGCTCTTCCTGCAGACAGCTGGGCCCATGCTCGCTATTACTGGCGACATCTGGGTCTCTCCGTCCCTCTTCATGCTTATTCACAATTCCAGGCTGTCTTTTTAACTGTTTTTTTTTTTTAAATTAATTATTTATTTATTACATTTATTTATTGTGTGTGTGTGTGTGTGTGTGTGTGTGTGTGTGGCCAGCTCAGCCCACCAGGGGGCGGGGCTGGCTGGCGTGTGGTGCTGGGGGATTGAACTGCGGTCCCTGTGCTTTGCCAAGCTAGTTCCAAGTAGGTGCTTTAGACCACCGAGCCATCTCTCCAGCCCTTTTTAACTGTTTTTGGAAGTAAGTGGAAAATAACCTCTATGTGTTGGGCAAGGGGTGAGTTCTGAAGAGGATTTTGCCCTATTTGATTTTAGGAAGCTAGTTTTGTGCATGGAGAACATTTAGATACTGGAGTCCTGGGTTTTATATGGAAACTCCTAAGAGTAGCTGGCCAGGGTGTCTGAGAAGCGTGTGTAAGACAGACGTCAGGCGGCCGCGGCCCAGGGGCACAGCACTTGCCCAGCGGGTCTGAGGCCCTGGGCTCTAGGGAAAAGAATGGACCTTCAGGGCACAGGAGAAGGAAGAGGAGGACATCTTCTTGGGGCAGTGGCTCTTTGGAGCTTTTAGTTTTGTATCATTTGTACCACTGAATTTGTAAATGGTAAGTAAAAAGAATTTGGACTATTTCCTGTGGCAGCCAGCAAACAAAGCCCAAGGAGAGAGTTGCAGAAACCATGCTTGAAATGCTGGAAAACTGCAAAGGAATCAGATGCTGCGCCCGTTGTGCAGGAGGGCGTCCTCCTGGCCTCTTCTCCCAGCCTCTGCCTGGGCAGCCTTTACCTGGACTTGTTCCCAAACAAACCCAAAAGTCATTCGAAGTTCAGATAGAGAGAATTTAACTTGAGACATTTAGGGAGGAGAAACCCAGGGATTATTCTCAAACACAGACATCTGTATATGTTTCTGAGCACAGGGATGTCTTCTATGTAATTTTTCCAGAGGAAAA